AATATCCTAATAACTGTTTTGATATATATCTTAGCCACATTTTGTATTTATCATTGCCCTATTGTATGTGTTTCCACATGAGGTCGAGCTCTTTGAATGAAGCTGGCCTCTAGCTTCATGGTACAATGTTTTGCTGGGTGCAGCTGTTCTCCCAAGAATCTTCTTCTTCATTCACATGAGAAAGCGTTGTCTGGGTTATGACCAGAAATGCATGACCCCTCAGTATAGAAATGACGATAATTTTCAACTCGACATCATTAGCTAGTCTTCCTGAATTGTATTTGTGTTAGAACATATAATTCCAGTTTGACGGACATGTAACATGCGAGATCGTAATTAATATAACACATTAACTGAAATTTTACTGTAATTCGATGAAATTCGACAATCAGGGACATGTTATACATACCTACCTTCTTATAATAACTCTGAATCATTCAGTTCATTCGACATTCACAATGGCCTCATGGGATTTCATCAAGAATGAATCATTAGAAAACACAAATTAGCATAGTGCTCAACTATAATATACCTACATGCAGTAATTAGAGAATGCATTAACAATTGAATAATTGGGTATATTTCAGCAAATTCATGCCACTAGATTACACTAGAGAAACGATTATATTTGGTGAATTAAATTAGGTTATTATTACCTGTTACTTTGATTATCCCAACCGACATTATAATGTATCGAATTAATATTACAATTCCTGAAATAATAAAGAAAGCCCGATGAGATAAGAATCTAGGCAACGATGCTCGTTTTCGAATAATTAAAATTACATTTGTGTTGAAGTTATTAGCATGAATATCGTTATGTAAGATGATTAATGCGTTTTTTTGGGATATGAGCTAGTTTGAGAGTAAGAAAGGTGTGAATAATTCCACATATAACAAATAGATTCATAAGAATTCTTTCCGGAGAAACAAATTATGTAGATTGGAGCATATATTAATCGGTAGTGTATGACCAAAACCATTGAGTAAGTGAATAATATTCATCAGGATGGAGTTCATTTCAACCTGGTTCAACCGATTGACATATCTGAATGTTTGAAGTTTCTTTGAATGATTTCATCCTTCTCCATATATCTCTGTGCTTTTTTGTTCCGAATATGAATCAATGAACCTACTTGATTGAAATAGTTATAGATTTTCTTTCTGGCTATACCACTAAGGGCCGTATTTTGGAATCGAGGAAGCTAGTCTGCCAAGAGAACAGTGGCATGTCGCACACTTTAGAAACAAATCATTTCGTTCTCTGATGCTTCTCTCGATAGATAGCAAAAGAAACAGGAACACTGTTCGGTGTTTTCTCATAATCTACCGAAAAAAGCAGTGGAAAGTGACATTGTAAACATTTCACACCGAGCATTCCCTCGAGGCAATCGTTCTCTCACTTCAAAAATAAGGCCACTGGAAGAGAGTTCGATGACTTTTATTTGTTTTTTTTTTCAATTTGATGGACTCAATTGACTTGTGCATACTGAAAAATGAATGATTGAAAGATGATGGTGAGGAGTTTAACTTCTTCAAGTCAAAAACTACGTATTCAATTGCAGGGACCCAATCTCTTACACTTAAAAATATTTTCTTGATCATTTACTTCAGCAGAACTCGATAACTTGACTGAAATCAGAAGACTTTGAAACAAGATTGGTGATCTTCATTTCGAAAAGGACTACCACTTCGAAGTGAGAAATGAAATATTTTCTACTGATAATATAAACAACTTGTTCTAAGTGAAAATATCTGGTTCCAATGCAAGGCTTTTCTATTTCTTGAAAGATCTCAATTCGTTTCTATCAAGACACTCGAATGTCTTGAAGAGAGTGTATATCGCTGAGGATAGAAAATCATAATTCTTTTTTTGATTCAACAGTGATGTCTTGAAATTGACTTTCCATTTGTATTGTTCTGAGGGAATATGTCTCATTTCAATTTAACCCATGAGTCATGATTGAAAGATCTTGCTCTCATTATTTCAAGAAATCAAAATTATCTCTAAGATTGTGGAGATTTCTTGTCTGAATAGAATTCGTTTTTTGATATTACAAAATATAAGAGTGGGGGGTAACATTTCCACTTGTACGCGGCAAACAAGTGCCATAGACTGCGAGTGCATTCGTTGTCGAGTGTGGTCACTGGTCAATCAATGAGTGAACTTATCCAAGATTAGACATTTTAGGAACCTATGAAATTGATAAAAAATCTTCGTGGTTAGTGATGATAGAGGTACCTACCTATGATATATTAATTAACACGTTGCGTCAGAGCGTTAGTTGTTAAATGATATGTGCATGCTGATTATTGGTAGGTACCTTTTTGCTTTGACTACAAAATAGGTAGCGACGTCTTTGGCGACGTGCCAAAGTAAAATTCAACATCGAGTAGAACTCGGAATAGGTTCTTCCTGGTTTACTTGATGGTATAGGTTTAAAAGTAGAATATATTCAACTGAAAACTGATTGGTCTCATCAGAAGATACTAAACTTCTTAAATAAACAGATGGCGTGTCTCAATGTTGATGAGTTATTCGATATCTAGTGAAGCAGCTGATTGATTCTTTCAGAAGTTCCCGATGTTTTCAATAGACATTTCTCAATTGAAGTGAATTGCAAATTTTATACGAAGATAGGAGCAAATTTCAAAACAAGAGCATCGCTCATCTTGAAATGAGTATTCAGATCTCTCCAAATGAGCTTGATTCCATGTCGAATAATCATAACTGATTTCTTCACAAAATTTCTTGAAGCATTTGTCTTCAACGCATTCGTGAATCAGGTTGGGAGATTTTGAAGCTGCGTCAAACGAAGGTAATATTGTATCGTTTCAAGGAAAGAGTTGAGTTTCAGATTGAGATGAATTATTCCACAGTTCAATAAAATATTTCTTTATGAATATAGGAGAGTTAGATTTCTTTGATTGAAGTGTGTTTTTATTCAAGATTTTTATTTTTACTGTGTGATCTCGGGTGTGATTTAAAATATGATACCGATTTCATGAGGAATCCACCATATATTTCTAGATATTGAATACAGAAAAACCCAAGTGAAACCAACGAACAGAATAGGAAATTGAAGAGAGCATATGAAATCAAGTCACTAGCTGAAGATGAGAAAATGTTTCCATCACCTACAGCAGATAAACTCGTTATATTCATACAAACAAAAAAGATAACTCTGGAAAACTGAGTATGACATAATGTGAATACAAGTACTGTTTGTCAATAATCGTTTTTTGATAAATTTTCGGTGATGATACTACTCTTATTGTCATCATCAAAATAGTTCATCCTCTCATAGTTGATCCAATTGGAATCTGATTAACAAATCCCATGGTTACTGAGGCATTGCAGTAGTAGGTACAATACCTCAAAAAAAAATATAACGAATAATCCAATGAATCCTTGTCATCATCTTGGAACAATTCAGGTAGTTTCCAAACTAATATGAAATAACTGATACATGCTGATACATTCTGATTATTCCTTCATGTTGAATAATTTAGTTAACGATCCAGGTAAAAATTGAGTAAGAGGCAATGCGTTTCTTGGATTATATTTACTGCAACATAATCAAGTAGGTACTTATGTCATAAGTAATTCGTACTGATCTTCGAATTGGAAGATTTTGAGTCCATAATTGTGCTTTCCTTCTACCAGTTTTTCGGTCTTTTTTCCTACCAGGAAATAATAACAACTCTTGTAGTAGCAACTCCGAGAGGTACTCATGCGGAAGATAGATGCTATATTATTTTTTCTAGTTATGATTCCAGTTCAAATGTAGTTATTGAGCTGTGATCAATAAAGCTCCTATGATCATATTATTTCCATTATCATCATGTTGCTGTGTCTTCATACTATATATATTTTCACACACGTTTTCATATTAACCGCGTTTCACTAGTTTCTTTTTCTCATGGTGTTCTATCACTCCAGGATATTGTTCATCAGGATTTTCCATAGTTTCGTGTGCATGTTTCATCATTCCTCTTCAATTGATCTGCATCATATTAGTAATTGGTGAAGCTGACGATAGTGTCATAATAATTGCCTTCACCATATCATATATAGTTTTGTTGGGACTTCACGGTATCAGGGGTTCAACTCAGCCTTACTATAAGAACTTGTAGGTCTAAACCAAGAAGGAATCTGAAACACTCCAAATGAACATATTGCTTCAGGATGTCATGCCTCCAGACCCTAAATGAGTAAATTACAGCTGATGCAGAAAATGTTTATCATAACATACGGGATCTAATTCTATATGGAAGGCAAATATATATTTCAAAGTTTATATATTTCAGTCGCAGAGACATGTAGGAGTTAGACAGACTCTCGCAAACCTTCTACATATTGTAGTAGGATTTTGTCAAGGATATTGTGATTCTTCGAGTGAATTACTCGGTTACTTAGCAATATCTCATTTTTCATCATTCATCCGAATGAAACTGAAATAGGTTTCACAGAATGATTTCTTGATGAAAGTAATAATAGTGTCTTGGTAAATGATTATAAATGAATTAGATAATATATATATTCAATTCGCCAATAATATCCATAACTTTCAGTGCATACTATCAGAACATGCACCAACATCAATTAATATGTTGAGAGTATGTTGTCAGTTCTCTCCAGATACTTCATGTTCGATTCTGAGAAAACTGGTTACTGAAAAATGTATGTCAATTACAGAATAAGCAGTGGACAGGTTTCATCCTCTTTATATGAGATATTCGGATACTTGTAGAGTTGGTAACTTGAATGTAATTTGCTTGATCTATCAATTTATCATCAAGGTTCCAACCTTGAAAACTGGATATTTCACTCGAGATTTCATCTGTAGAGCCACGAATATACCTATACAACCAAGATCAAATACCAGGTGTTGATTAAGAAGGATTATAGCTCATGTTGTAATCAACAACAATTGGTGTAGTCAAAGTTGGTATCCAAATTAGATCTACAGAAACCAGTAAACAAATTTGATACATACCAGAATGGTTTAGCCTAAAATAGAACTCTTCTTGGTTGATAGCCGTTTTGAACAGTCAAGCTGGACCTTTTCGAAAACCTTACTGGAGCTATCTCCTCAATCAAACTGTTTATCAATCGACGAACTAAATTGCCAGTAATTAGCAACAATCACCACAACAATTCGAACCAGCGATAGCGTCTGCAACTGTCACTCGGAGCACGTGTTCACGAACTGAAGAAACGGAGCAGGCCGGCGTTCTCCTCAGTTGTTTACTTGTTTTGACTCGCGGAAAGGACGAGAGAGAGCATGTGTCGTGGGAGGCCTTGGCAGCGTTTTCTGTCGGCAGTCCTGAAGTCAAGTAGGCGACTGAACCGGCAGACAAGTGAGTCGTGATCCGTGGCCAACTTACCCCTACCGTTTGGCGGGCAACCCTATGAGTCGAACCCCAATGTAGAATGCGCGACTCACGCATGAGCAAGGATCGTAATTAGATTCGTAATGTCCAGTTTCGTATTTTGGGAAGATGGGGCGCGAGATGGACAGGGGCGGTGCTCGGTGGGGGGAAATGGGGGGGGGGAATCGAGATGGAGATGAATGAAGATTGCTTGCGAGTGTACTCCCCCCAATAGGTGAGGTGCGATTCTGTGGCGATTGGAACCTGATCAGGCATTCGGATAGTCGATGAGCTTCTAGCAATACCATGTCATCCGTGGCTGTCTGAATTTCAAAGACGTAATAACGTAATATAAGGAAGGAAAATATCTTTTCCACACATCACGTGTGTTTCTGCAAATATCGTCACAATATCACACAATGTTACATTGACATTTGTCATCTCTCGTAAATATTTTAGACTATGGAATCGTTCATGAAGCAGATATTTTTATTACTAATGATGACTCTGATCCAGAAGAAGACTCTGGAGATAAATAGACGCCAGCAGCAAATATAAACGATATTAGTTAACTTTTGAAGAAAATCAATGGGTTGCAGAAAAGGATAAACCTCTTTAGAAATTAGGAGAGAAAAATCAATTTCCTAGTAATCTAATCTAATTCCAAAATTTCAGCAGCAGCCAGAAACATTGTATACCAATGCTGTATATTGCTTAAAATATTTTCATGACATGGAGATGATTACATAATTGAAATTGAAATTGTCACAAATGAGGAGCTATTTGAAGCCAAATTCCAAAATTCTTATAAAATCATATTGATTCGAAGTCATTGAACGATCACGTCTGTAATTTTTTTTTTGTAATTTGTAATTTATTTACCATTAGCATTACATAATAAATCACAATGCATTTTGTTTATCCTATGAGAATATGCAAAAGGTAAATAAACAAGGAAAACTCACAAAAGGATAGATAACCCTTGTGCGTGAGATGCTCGTTTTTCTCCCTTCTACACCTTGTAGATGTTATAAGGAAATATGGAACTCACAGTTATTCATGGATAAAAAAGATAAAATGATGTAAAACAATAATAATAAAATTCTTAAAAATAATTGTTCTTAAATGACTAGGACATTGAGTGAATAGTAGGTATATAATAAATAATGTATAAAATCAATGATAAGAGATAAATGTAATAGGAAGGGACCTTGATTGCATTAGAGGTCGGTTAAACAAAATGGATTCATATATAATAATTATAGTGTTAAAATAATAAATTGATGAAATATTAGAATGTAAAAATATTAAAAAAGTTGAATTGTTGTCAATTTGTACTAATATTTCTAATATCAATCCAATTACATAAAATGATTTTTGGAGTATTGAATAACCACTGTTTCAGTTTTTTTTTGAAAAGATTTATCGTTTTAATTTGTTTCAGTTCGACTGGTAATTCATTATATATTTTTGGAGCCAGATATGTGAAGGATCTCTGGAAAATAGTTTTTTCAGATTTAGGTATCACATTTCTATTTTGTTTATGTCTTGTATTATAGTTATGTACGATGTCGACGAGTTCGGATTGGTGAGTATATTGCCATAGTGTAATAGTGTTGCAATATATTTTTTTTAGGTCTAATACATGAGTATCGAGAAAGAGTTTTTCTGAAGGGTAGGTATAGTTTTTTCTATAAATTATTTTGAGAGCATATTTTTGTATTACTTCTACTTTATTAATGTGTATTGCAGCAGCCGCTCCCCATGCAATGTTTCCATAGTATAAGTGACTTTCCACCAGTGCAAAGTAAATGATCCGTAGCTGACGTATACCAAGGATATTTTTAAGATATTTTAATTTAGGTAAAATACATCTGATTTTTTTTGTAACATATTCTGTCTGTTTGTCCCACTTCAAGTGACTATCAATATAAATTCCCAAATATTTTATGCACAGAACAGATTTAATTTCAATATTCTGGTTATCACTGTTATTCTCGATACAGAGTGTTTTATATGATGGTAGGCCAGATTTATATGAACTGAAGGGTACAAAATACGTTTTTTCTACATTCATAGTTAGTAATTTACTGTTGAAATAAGTTATAATTGATTTAAAATCTGTTTCAGCCGTTTCCTTCAGTTTCTTCCAAGTATCATCTTGGTATATAATTGCAGTGTCATCTGCGAAACTTATGATGTTTCCCTTCATGCTCTTATCGAAAAGGTCATTAATGTATAAGGTAAATAAAATAGGTCCAAGAATTGTTCCCTGAGGTACTCCGTATTCTACTTTTCTGTATTTACTAAAAGTGTCGTCTATTTGTACACATTGTTTTCTATTATCTAAATAGCTCTCGAACAGTTTTAGCGGGATACCTCTTATGCCAGCATTTTCCAGTGTTTGTAGTAGTTGAACATGACTAACTGTGTCGAAGGCTTTGGCCAAGTCGACAAAGATACATATGGTTGGTTTATTCAAATTTAATGCCTGGTAAAGGTGTCTGGTTAATTCCACGATTGCATCCTGTGTCGACTTGCCTGCCTTAAAACCAAATTGTTTATTTGAAATTACTTGGTATCTGTTCAGGAATGAAATCAGTCTAAATTTTAAAAGTTTTTCAAAAATTTTGGCAATTGTTGATATCAAAGAGATTGGTCTGTAGTTAGTCATGTTCTTTTTGCTACCTTTATTTTTATATACTGGTTTGATGACAGCAATTTTGAGACAACTTGGAAAAATCCCCTTCTCAAAGGATTTATTGATTAGGAAGCATAGCGGGGTTTTTATGTAATTTTTAATAATTTTCATAGTTTCAGATTTGATTCCATCTTGCCCTGGCGCTTTACGATTTTTTAAGCTTTCAATGGTTTTGACCACTTCGTTTTCATCAACCTCTTGCAAATATATTGAATTCAGGAGAGTATTTCTATTTTGATTTAATTCTTGAACATTTTTTATTTTGTCAGCAAGTTTTTTCCCAATACCGGTGAAAAATTCGATAAACTCGTTTGCAATATCTTTTTTATTTTTTAAAATATTGTTTTTTGTGTCTTCTATTTCTTTTGGGACTTCTTTGGTTCGTTGTCCATTTGTAATTTCTTTCACAGAATTCCAGAGGTGTTTTCCATCATTTTTATTAGTATTTATTTGTTTTTTATAATAATTAATTTTTGATGTTTTCAGCAGAGAATTGAGCTTATTCCTGTAAGTTTTAAATTCATTGATATGTTCATCTGTTGGGTTTCTTTTCATGATTTGGTATAATTCATTTTTTTTTCTAGTGGAGTTCACTAAACCGTTACTAATCCAGCACTTCCTTTTTATGTCCTGTCTTTTTATTTTTGACTTCACTGTACTTGCATCAATGTGGTCTTTTAATTTAGTGATGAATATATCTGTACTATTTTCTAGGTTTTCATTATTGTACATTTCATGCCACGATTCTCCTTCTAACCTAGTTTTCAGCTTTTCATAATTTATATTGTATTTAAAACGCGTTTCAGTTATATGTTTTTTATTTTCAGGAAAGCTGACTTTAAGAACAACTGGGTAGTGGTCAGTGATGTGGACCTGTAGAATGATTGGAGTGATTGTGTGATACGGTTTTATATTTTTAATAAAAATATGGTCAATACAGCTTTTTGTGTTATTGTCTACCCTTGTATAATCATTGATAGTTGATGTGAAATTGTGTTCTGCCAATAGGTTTAGATAATTTTCTGTTATATCTTGATCCTTCATGATATCTATATTTATATCACCTACTAGAATATGCATTACATTTTGTGTGTCATTAATCAAATAATTTCTCAAGTTGACGACAAACTCTACATCAGAAGTGGATGGTGGTCTGTAAATGGAAGTTATCTTTATGTTAGTATCTTTTTTTTTTACATTGCATGTAATCACTTTGATATTGCCCAGGCTATTTAAAACATGGGTGTACGACAATTTTTCACTAACATATACAATCACTCCATCATTTTGGTTGATATTTCCCTCGTTATATATCAGATCATAATGTTTTAATTTGTAAAGAAACGGGTCGTTCAGTCTCCAACATTCGGTGACTATTATGCAATCAAATTCCCCCAATTCGTGCAATAGAATTTCGAATTCCTCGATATTTTTGTTTATACTTCTAATATTCATTTGTATCATTCGAAATTCCTCATTATCATTTTTTTCAAGGATAATTTTACAATCTTTTGTACATTTCGCTATCACAGTACTGACTGAATCTATTTGGAATTGTTTGATGTAATCATCCATTTTGTATCATAAAAATAATTAATATATTGGAGTAAAAGAGAATGAATCATGTAATGAAATTTATAAAAAGAAGTTAAAACTTGGTCAAAAATGTTCGTAAAACAATAAAATTGTACTTCATGTATAACAAAACAATGTTTTTAATTGAAATGATGAATATATATCTTCTGAATTGAAAAAAAAAAAATGAGGAAGAAATCTTGTTTATTTCGACACTGTTTTAGTAGTACTTCTTGTTCTCAGGTTAGCTTTCGCTTGGTCAGAATACGCCGTTTTTGTGTTGCGATAGGATGAGGTATTGGGGGATGTAGTTGCTACTTTAGTTTGACGGGCTATGTCTTCTTCTGGTGGTCTCTTCTCCCCGCGCGTTGGAATAACTTCAATTCTCTTATTTGTTTCGATATTTTTGAACTTCTCTTCTTCTTCACTTGGCTGCTTGGAAAAAACCTCTTCTGTAATGTTCTCTTCGCTCTCCTCGTGATGTCTCCCTTCACTATCTACTGTTGGTACGAATGTTTTCTGTTTCGTGTTTTCTTCTTCAGTCTCAGATTCTCTCAGTTTCTCATAAGGGAAAGCTTCCCCATTCACATACAAAATATTTTTTTTTATATAAGCTGAGTAGTTTTGCTGCCTTGCTTTTTTCAGATTGTCATGTAAAACTTTCCTTTTTTTGTACTCTTCACTTGTATAATCTTGTGAAATGAAAATCCCACACCCCTTCTCTAGTGTTTTGGCTCTACTCAAAATTTCCTGTTTCAAACTATAATTGACTAGCTCTGCAATGACTGGTCTAGTTTTTCCTTCTACTTTTTTT